TCAGTATCTGTGGACTGATCCTTCCCCCTGGACTGCTTGGTTCGATTTGGGCACCTTCGCACCTTGTGAGGCCTCTTGCACCAGTTACACTTTAACTTCTCTCTATGTGCACCACATCTTTTTGATCACTCTCCAGACTCGTCTATCCCTTTGACGATGGCAGCTAGAGTATTCTTCTTGGGATATCCCCTTATCACATGGGGACCATCACAGAAGTAAAACTTGATCTCCTTTTTGCTCATATTCTTCTCTACCATGGACTCAGCCTTGCCATTTTCCCTTGATGACTTCCCTTAACTACGAACAGTCAAAGGCCCACCTTGGCGATTCAAAGAGCTTTCTCCACCATCTCCCTGCTGCACCTTTCCCTGGTCTCCCCCACCATTGTTGCACCTTGGCGTGGGTCTGGATGACTCTATGTTGGTTGGCTCGCCACCCGCAAGCTCTACAGCTATGTCCTCCGAAAGTCTCTAGGCATCACCTTGCTCTACCATGAGCTTCGCCCTGGTCTATGTTCTTCCAAAAAGGTCTTGAGCGCGCCCCATTCACTCATTGCACCCTTGCATATGAGCAGCTCACCCTTGAGCTCATCCACCTCATTTTTTTAAGCCATCACCTTGGCTTTATGAGTATTACTCCCTCGAACCATCTCTAACTCGTTGAGAACTCGATGCTTCTTGTCCTTGAACTTGTCTTCCATGGACTCCAAATTATCAAGGCATGACTCCACAACACCCTAGGTCTCCTTGGCATATTCCTCAACTTTTTCAAGTCTTATAACCTTTTTCTCCAACCAAGTTAAGATTTTTAAACTGTTGTCCAGCACATCCATCACATGATCGAAAGCTTTTTCACTAAACTCATCGAGTAGCCCCTGAATCTCTTTCTCGGTTTGGATGTTTAACTCCTCTAACCTGGTAACCCTTTCCTCTACTAAAGCTATCGACTCCCTTAAAGTTCCAACTCTTGGTTTTTCCCTCTTGAACTCATTTGCCACGAACTAGCTCAATCACCCTTGAGTAGCTCGAGCGCAAATCATTGCCAACTTAACTACCAAAGTAAATTGACAATACAATAAGTAAATCAAACTTACCTAGTTTACCACTTCCACCAAACATAGACAAAACGATCGTTGTTTGCCCACAATGACTTGCTCTGATACCACTTGTCACGCCCTCAGAACCTTCAAGCCCAAACTGTCGTAATATCAGAGTTAAGGTCTGATGGGTCATGATGTCTTATACGCTTCTTGATACTTCTGGGTCTTCTCTAAGACTAAGTAAGCCTTACTCAAGCCTAGTGAGCATGCAAACTAACTAAAGTTGGAACCAAACCCTCAAGGCTTCTAGGATGCGAAATCTTTAACACCAACATGGCTACTCCAAGCTATCAAGCTTGGATTATGGTGTAGAAGTGCAAACACAAGCGTGGCTACTCCTAGACACCAAGAAAAGCTACAACACAAAGAGACTTTATGAACATAGTACACAAGAGATAGAGTAAATGCCTCAGAACTTTTATTACTCATTCAAGAGAATGAATGGAATGAGATGTTACAGATGAAGAGGTGAGGCTCTCTATTTATAGTTGAGCTCCCTCTAAATTAATGGCCTTGATCTATTTACATCGATGGCTAAGATAATCCTTATTAATTACAAATCTTTGTATATAAAGAAACTCCATCAATCAAATCCCCTATTTAAGGGAAGACACCCAAACTACCATCTCATCATATCAATTAGTATGATTCTTTCTTTTGATGGTTGATCACACTTGATATAGTAAGATTCCCCCACAATCTCTTCTGATTTGTTGTCTCTTGTCATATCTGCGCTGCCTATGTGGACACAATATGATAAGGTGTCACTTTTCTTGTTTTCACGGCCAATATGAACAGGCTCCACAACATTCTCCAAATTATGGGCCAAGTTTGGTGGTCTTTTCAAGTCCGATACTCCATATTCAACCTCTTTGTCGGACACTTTCACCAAATCTGAGCCCAACTCCGTGACCTGTTACAATAGTATTATATCTATATTTAATATATATAAAATATGTCTCGTTAACAACAAACGTTAATTATCAACTACAAATAATTTATATAAAAATCATTTTAATATAAGATAAAATATTAATAATTGGAATATTTAAAAATAAAAAATAGGTAACTATTCAATCATATGCCTAAGAGTAAATTTTAATAATATAATTTTTTAACCCTTAAAACATGAATAATCAAATACACCTTTTATATAAATTGAAATATTTATTAATTATGATATCAAGTAAAACAAGAATGTATAATATGTAATCTTTAAGAAAAACACATTTAATAAAATATTTTTTTGAATAGCACATTTAATAAAATATGATATTGTATTATGTGATAAGATGTGATATTTTCATAAATAATATTTCTTCTATCTCATTTATATGGATTGTGTATAATAAAAGTTGTTGATTTTTTTCAAAGAGACAATTTAAATAAAATAATTTCAAAACACAAAAGGAATAATTTTTTTATTAAGTTAAGATGATTATAAAATAATATATGTTTTAAATATTCTCAACCATTAGACAATAAACACTTAATCACTCTGTTGCAGTCGTTGATACTCGAATCCATAATATCTCAAATTAAAAATTCTTTTAACAATGAGATAAATTAATTTAAACGCAAAAAGAACAACTTTAATGGAACTGAACAGAGGGAATAATATTTATAATGCAATATTCTTAAAAATAATATATATGTATATATCTAGTTAATAAACCCACCCTATGAAACCGAAAACAAAGATGTTGAAAAAGATAGGCCGTAGGGAGATCAATTTCGAAATTTCTGGGTTAGCCGGTCGAGAGTAGAGAACGGAGTGGCGAGCTCAGTGTCAGATAGTACAGTTTAAAGCATCAAACAAGTGCCATAATATGGCCTAGATTTTGCTCAATCTCGACATTCTCTCTCTTTTCCCTCCCAAGTTACTTGGCCGTACTCCAAGTTTTGTCATCAAAGCCCCCGCATAGCTAAGCAAGAAAAATCCATGAGGAAGTGTGGAAAGATATCAGCCTCTCTTCTATAAATGACACCACCACCACTAACCCTGCTTTCCCTACCACCATCTTTCAAGACTTATTCTCCAAACCCTTCAACCATGAACCTCCATCCAATAACGAAGGAACCACATTCTTTGGCTCTCCCCCTTCAACCTTATTGAGCTTGAACTCTGTGTCTGCTCTCCAGTACATGGGCCAACAATCGTACAAAAGCTGTAGTAACTCCATCGCTTGGTCGCAACCCCTCCTTGTGCAGGAAAGGGGCTCCAGAAAACGACGGCGATCTCTGGCACAAGCTCATCAAGTACAGAGAGTCAGCTGCTCGGTCTAGAGCAAGAAAACTGGTATAAACCTGTTAAAAAAAAACTTTTTCTTTCCTCGCAAGTTAACATAATGAAGTAATATGAAATATGGTCTTATCTTATTCTATGACATGCTGTGGTGATATAATCAATCCGAGTGCCACAGGCTTACAGAAAGGAGTTGGAACGTGAAGCTGCTCGATTAAAGGAAGAAAATGCATGTGTAATGTAAACCTCCAAAAATATTCAATCGATTAAACTCAATTTACCCAATAATTGAATTCAATCGTAGCGTATAACATGTTAAGAAAAAAAATGTAAAATATATCTTTCATAATTGTTTTAACAAGATATCATTGGTTAAAAGATATTCTTTTAACAAGACTAACAGATGAGTTTAAAATAATGACAGAAGAATAGTTTAGGTACCTGGTTTGATTAAAAATTAGTTTAGGTACTTAAAACAAAAAAAATAGCATAGTTTGAGGGCTGCTTTTTCATTTAAGCCTTTTATTTATTCTACATATCTAATTATTTTACAATAAAATAATATTAAAATAAAAAATATACAATAAAGAATATTATTTTAACAAGATATCATTGGTTAAAAGATATTCTTTTAACAAGACTAACAGATGAGTTTAAAATAATGACAGAAGAATAGTTTAGGTACCTGGTTTGATTAAAAATTAGTTTAGGTACTTAAAACTAAAAAAATAGCATAGTTTGAGGGTTGCTTTTTCATTTAAGCCTTTTTATTTATTCTACATATCTAATTATTTTACTATAAAATAATATTAAAATAAAAAGTATACAATAAAAAATTTAAGTGTTTTGACAAATATTAACCTTAAAAATGTAAAATAAAATAATAATCGTTTCAAATATTAGTAATATAACATTATTAGTAAAAAATTTAATATACTAATATTATTATTTCTAATAATGTAAATGATAAATTTTATAATTTTCTGTTTAAAAATTATTATTGCAACACTGATATAATTATTATTCTTCTTATTATAAAATTATCACTATAAAATTATTGATACAAAATATAATGATAAAATTATTAATATTAATATTAACTGTTTTGAAAATATTTTATGTTTAATATAATAGTATATTTTATTATAGATGATTGTTTTAAATTTTTAAAATCACATAAAAATAATAATTTGATTTTCTACATTACTACTATTACTTCTAATAAAAAAAATGTAATTACTCCTCCCATTCTTTAATATTTTTTATTCACATAATATATAATGAAGAAAAATAACAGCAACACAACACTAGCATTAAAAATAATATTTTATGATTATTCCTTTGACTATAAAAATATTTATATTTTATTTCCTCTTATTTTAATATTATTTAATTTTATTTTATTTGAATATCGCTATATTTACATTTTTATATATTTTAGTCACTTTCATCAATAATTTAGCTAAAACTACATTCAGCCAATCAATGGTAAATGAATTAACAACATTAAAAAATAACCAAAACTTTAACAACATTAAAAAAAATTGCAAGAGCTTTACAACTGAATTTAATATTTGAGATGATTATCCAGCTCAGTTGGTAGAACACAAGGTTCTTAACCTTGAGGTTGTGGGATCGAGTCCCACGGATGGCATTTCATAATTCGGAAATCTTCTACGAAAGCTGCTCTTAACCTGATGTTTGGGAGCAGACTACTATCTTACATCCCCTTATCCCATTATATATGGGAACATGGACAACCATTCTTTACAGAAACTAAGCTTTCTCCGGACCTACTACTCTGTTTCAAGCACTAGGAAGAAACTAAACAAGCTTTGGTTGGTAAATGAAATGATGATTGAATTGTTTACCCACAAAGCACATCTCATTTCGTTAGATATAACTTTATATACAATCTTATGTTCCCTCTCAGTCGATCAAGATTCAAGGGAAGAAGAAAACCATAACCAAACACTATTTTATCTTACAGACTTACACCGTCAAAACTGTTCTCTTTTATTTTTAAGATGAATTTTACAAACGGTATGGAATTCGTTGAGGGATACTGAAGCGGACCTGAGAAGCAGGCGAACGAACGGCGACTCCGTGCCAGCAAATACCACCCTTGCACATCTCCTGAACGTGAACGGAAGCGGCGTGATCGCCTGAAATCGCGTACGTGGCTTTACGGGTGACGTCCCACGTCAGAGTGCCGACCAAGATGAAACCCACCACCGTGCTGGACACTATCATCACGAACCCACCACCAAAGCTCCGCCCACTCACCAAACCATATGCCTTTATCCCCGCTATGACTGCCAGGTAGATCGTCATCAAATTCCCAATCACCGCATCCGATATCGCCATATCCCCCAGCTCCTCCCCACAATCCGCACTCGGTAAATTGTTAAAAGAGTTGGCTCTGGAGGCGCTGCTGCTGATGATGGAATTAGAAGAAAAGAATCTGGTGGCTGATGATAGGGTTTTCAAATGACAACTTAATTGAGGCGTCTACGGATAGTTTAGTACCAAATAATACGGTATTGAAGCTGATATGGTCTAACGGTGTCGTTTTCTAAGGAAAGCTTACTTTTTCTCAACTCCGTTGTTCCTCTTCGAAACGAAAGTGGATGATGATGAAATCTAATTTCTTGTCTTTCATGCACGCGCGGTTACATGTCTATTTCAATGACATTATAACACGTGTCGAATATCTAAGATGATATCAAGAGTAAAGATGAAGGTGGTAACTTTAACTACTTAGATCGATCTATAAATCCACAAAATAATGTTTGCTTTTGTTTAAATTTGATCCGGTTTAATGTAAAATATAATTGAGATTTGTATATTCATTTAGAGCATAAAGATGTTCGCCTTCATTTATGATTGTAAATTACAAGTCCTTTCTTTGGCCAATCTTCTACCGTCCAAGTCTTGTCTTGGTTTGTAATGTCTATTTCAAGGGGTATTATTAATGTTCGACAAATTAAAGAGAAAAAAATGAGGTACTGAATGAAGCCACGTCAAAGTAAGTGGAAAGTGGTGTCAAATCTCAGCCTCGTAATCGAAGCTTGTTTAAAGTGCATGTCCCAATGCCATATCCGCCTCAGTAAATGGTAACCGACAGTTCAAAGATGGAGCTTGGGTGATTCATCATTCATGGTATTTTAGTCGAGACTTCCTTTTTTGAGTTTTGTTGGGGTTCGTAAAGTGGATGTGGGTGAAGAATGCATGTGTTTGATGAACTAAAACGAACCATCAAACATCATGCAAGAACACCGTGATTTGATAAATGGTGGTGGGTATTCTTCACATCTGGTAAATACACGAGTGCAGTTTAACTATGTAAAAAGAAATGCTTATCATCAACTACATATTAATCATTAAAAAATAACAAAAACACGATACATATTACCTGGATTTTCAGTTTGAGACTATACATGATGGGCTTACCGCTTCCTTGAATTGTACCCAAAAAATATTATAAAAATTTGACAGTAAAAGAAGCTGACAGGTTCTCCATCTCCGTAAGACTTTAAAGTTCTACTGATCATAATACTGAGCAACCACCATATGATTTTTTCTTAACTTTTTTGGGAGGCTGGAGCACTACCTTAATCGCCGCATCAAAGACTGACTTCACATTCTGCAGTAAAGCATTCAAAAAAAGTTTCATGGGAGCTACAAGAGAGGCTTCAATAAAGTTTTTCGGTAGAAAAAAAAGAAGTGCATTTAGAGAAATATTTAACCTGTTGTGTTTTTGCACTACATTCGATGTAGGCAGGGACTCTATCTGTTTCCTTAATTCCTCTCCCTAAAGAAAAAAAGGAAATACAACACAAATATTCAATAAATGGAACATATTCCACCAAATACTAATGATAATTAATAATGTCTAATATGCACCTGAGACGTGGATATAGGTACTGCAGCCGGATGGTCTGCTAAGAATTGCTCATCATCCCGAAGATCTGCAGGAGCAAAGAGTGGAAAACATGAATATTAGTAAAAGGGTACTCCACCAATTTTAGAATAGTTTCATTCAATTGGAGATTGAAATTCTATATAAGAATCTCATTATCCCAAGATTAAGAATCATACCAAGCTTAGTTCCAACAAGTATTATTGGAACACCAGGTGCGTAATGCTTTAATTCAGGAATCCACTGAAATGGAAAGAAAGAAAGAAAGAAAGAAAAACTCATGAATTGAAGGGACATGCACTACAGATATACTGTACCAAATTACCATCTCGAAAGCGAAGGCATTCGAAGGTTCGACCTTCTTGGCGATGTTTTCATAACTGGCCTTGCTGATGAGAGAAATGCAAGAATAAAGATATCAGCCCCGCGATAGCTCAGTGGTCTTAATCTATTGTAATCCTCCTGACCTGTTTTCAAGGAAAAGATTTCAGAACCAAAAGCAAGAAAGAAAACAAATAATAGAAGAGGAATCCAGAAGCTATTATCCAAATTACCGGCAGTATCCCATAATCCTATGTTGACCGTATTGCCATCCACGACAACATTGCACTGAAATTGTCGAAAACAGTTGGGACATAATCCTGTTGCCATAGTAATGTATCCAATAAAGAAATCAGTAACAGGAGCATAAAGCACCAATCTTGGTTTAAATTGCAAAGGAATTTCCAGTAATTGCAAGGAGATCAGGTTGCACCTGATATGCATATGCCTACATTGTATGGCATTAACAACAATCTTGACAGCATTTATAAAAGATAGCTAAATTTTCCGAGGAAACTCAAGGTTGCAGAAATACAGAACAGTTTATTCACGCAGAGTTAATGTCAGACATCAATTTACATTTTATCCAGTGATCTTAATCAATGTAAAATTAGAGAGTTTTAAAACGCTAATAAATAATTCAATCAAGCAACAAAGATCCGAAAATGCAGGAAACAGGCTCACCGTAGGAAAAGTGTTGCTGGTGTATGAAATCAGCAGGCAAGTCTTTCCTATGGCGCCATCGCCGACGGTGACACATTTTATGAATCTGGAGGCGCTCATACTCCTTCGCCGCCGTACGAAAAAACCGCCTAAACCCTGCTTTTTACTCCTCTGTCGAATATTATTTCAATTTTTCCACAAAATTTGAAATTCGTTTTCTTTTGCCTCTCAGATCTGATTGACGTTGTTGCTGTTGTTGTAGTTGATGTTTAGCAAAGAATGAGGATCCATAGGCTTCATCATTTGTCTCCACGAGGCAAACCCTAAGGATCAGAGAGAGGTTGGAGAGAAAAAAGCAAAGTTAAAAGAGAGAGAGAAAGGGGGGAAATGTGGCCAAATGACTGGAAAGACGCGGGCCGGGTTGGTTGGGGGGGGGGGGGATATCAGAGCAAATCACAAATAACAATTGCGGCTTGAGCGCAAGCTTCTATTAACAACCCCTCTCATCATTCACAACTTACTAATAATATTATCTTTATTATTTTCTTTTCTCTTTGTTTTTATTTTCCCAAAAATAAAAATTATAACTAATTTCTTTCTTTCTTTTTATTTTTTTAAAGAAAGAAAGTCCCGTTAAAAATCTCTTTTAGTCCTATAAGAGAAAAAGAGTACCCACCATATATATTACTCAAAATTAATATAGTTGGATACATCAAAGAGAATAATCTCGGGATAAACCGAGTAAATAAATAAGGTACGCTCAAAACTAAGAGCTCAAAAGGCTAACGTGTGAGCAACCTTATTAAAATTACGCTCAACATAACCAAGAATAAAAGATACACGAGTAGCTAAAATCTCGTGCTTCTTGCAAATGGAAACCAGAATTTGATAAGGGGATGTCTCAGGAAAGGCGGGTTAATATACGGCTAATATACGGCAGTACCAGATACATTTAAATGTATTTAATAAATTCGGTTTAGCGGTACCTATTATGTTGACAACTAATAATGTTTTAGGTAGAAAATATGAAAAACTATTAAAAATTTTGGTAACCGGTAAACTTTGGTATCAGTAAGTATCTATCATTTTTATAAAAGTGTCCATACTTTAACATATCAAGTAAATTTTACCGGTTTTGTCATAATGAATCTGGTTTGTCATATTTTTACCTGTTATTGTAAAGTATCTATCCTTTTTATAAAAGTGTCCATACTTATTTCACTGTGAAAATATATTATTATTATCTTTGGTTAATATTGTTAAATTTAAATTCTAAATAATATTTTATAAAATATCAAAAATAAAATAATTTGTGTGTAAATGAAATTATTAAATTATATTGTAGGTGGAAAACATGAAACACTTTTAAAAAAAATTGAAACATAAATTACATAACTTTAAAAAAAGTATATCATTTTTATAAAAGTGTCCATACTTATTTCACTGTAGAAAACATATTTATTATTATCTTTGGTTAATATGTTAAATTTAAATTCTAAATAATATTTTATAAAATATCAAATAATCAAATAATTTTTTGTGTAAATGAAATTATTAATTAATATTGTAGGTGGAAAATGAAAACTATTAAAAAAAATTGAAACATAAATTACATACTTTAAAAAAGTATATATCATTTTATAAAAGTGTCCATACGTATAAAAGTAAGTCTTAGTCATGAAGAAATATTAAAACGATATACCAGGTAAAAATATGATAAAACCGGTAACAAAATGATAAAACCGGTAAAACGTTACCAGATATATTGAAAGTGTCGATACTTTATATAAGGATCGACACTTTGTGAATTTAAAAGAGAAGCAGTTTTAGCGCTTATAATGTGTCGATACTTTAAAAAAATATCGATCCACAACGATATAACAGGTAAAAATATGATAAAACATGTATCAAAATGATAAAACCGGTAAAATGATACCGGATATATTAAAAGTGTCGATACTTTCGTAAGTACGTGTAATAAATTATCGACACTTTCAAAGAAATAGGTAATTATCCTTTCGAAAGTATCGACACCTGACATAAAAGTATCGACACTTTTGTATTTGTATCGATTAAATATAAATAACATATCCGATCAAAATATAAGCTAAATCTCCTCTGAAAATAGATAGAACAGACGAGTTTTTGAAAGCGAAGCGTAATTGTTGCTGCATTTCAGAAGGCGTTTCTAAAGCGAAGTTTGTTTGTTTGTTACTGCAGTCGAATCGAAAAGTATGTTGTCGAAACCCTAATTTTTTATTATTACAGTAATCGCGATAGGGTTTTATGTGTTGTTTGGGGTTTTGTAGTAAAGAAGCATTTGGGAACAACTGCAGGTAGAAAGTGATATTCAAGGAAAAATATAAATGTCGATACTTTTATTAAATATATAAGGTAGAAAATGATATTATAGGTTGTATAAAATGTGCCGACACATTTTGGTGTGGCCATTCAAATTCTTTTGAAGAAAACCGTTTTACCACAAGAGTAGTTATCTATATTTGTATATTGAATAAAGTATATGTAACAAAATAATTTGATTTGCGTAAACTGATATATGAAGGAAAAATGGAGTCAATGGGTTGGAAAATTGTTGGTGGAGCAGATGACTTTGAAATTGAGGCCGAGACTCGAAAGCAACCCAAGGGTGGATATATGTACTTCTAGTAAGTATCAATGTCTTTTTGTTATTATTGTTGAAATGGTAATTGGATTAAAGTATCGATAAACTTTAAATTGATTACAAATTTTAAATGTTGACAGTATGGCCGAATGCAAAAAGATGAAGGAAGATGACACACAGAGCAGTTCGGTATGTAAAATGAAATTGACATTGACATTGAGTAGTATTTAGTGTTAATGTATTGATTAAGAAACGTTTATGTTTTATATTAGGTGACAAAAGATGTGAGGTCCAAATGGAATTCAATGAGTGATGCTGAAAAGGAACCTTACATCACAGTCAAGGAATGAT